GAGCATCCCGGAGCGGGTCCTTCCTCCGGCATTTCCTCGCGTGTTCCCTTGCCGCCCCTCGCCCTCCCAGGAGAGCCGCCCCCGGGACGGTGTGACGAGGCCCGGGCTCTGGGCAGAGACGGCGATCCCCGCAGATCCCCGCCGCAGCCGCCCCCGTGTCCAGCGGGGAAGCCGGGAGCGTGGGGCGGAGGGCGGCCCGGGGCTGCGGAGCCCCCCGGCCATGGAGCAGGTCCAGATGATCAACATCCAGCGGCTGCTGGAGGCGGCCGAGTATCTGGAGCGAAGGGAGAGAGGTAATGGGGGGAGGATGGGCGCCCTCCGTGAGGGGAACGGGTCTGGGGTCAGATCCCCACCGAGGGGGGAGAGTGACCCCGGAGAAGGGATCAGAGCGAGTGTTTGCTGGTGGGATGCTGGTAAAGCCCCAGCAGTGAAGGGCTGGATGAAGGATAGGGCTGATGAGTCCTCCTGGAGGTGGTGGGTGAGGTGGAAGGTTGTTGCAGAGTGGGGGGGATTGACGTGGATGTGGTTTCTGGGAGGAAAAGGGGGGACTGGTGTGAAAGTTTTCCACTGGGCAGGAGGGATGGTGATGGGTGGCTCTGGCTCAGCAGAGACATCTGTGGCACAGTGAAATACATCTGGCTTGCCTGGTTCAGATACGTTGGGCAGGAGGAGAGAGATGAGGCGCTCTCTGGACTGTCATGGATTTTTTTTAATATTTTCAGCGTTTGAATGGTGGTGTCCTTCCTCCAGGGTTGGCAGAGACTTTATACTTCCCTTCTTTCCTTTTCTCCAACTTCCAGTCCACTTCCCTGTGAATATATCCTCAGTCATTTCCCTGAGCTGTTGTGGTTAAGGGCCTCCCCAGCTAGGCCAACGAGTTAGTGGTGAGGCCTGTCTGCTGACTTCTTTCCTTTTCTTTTTTTTCTCCTTTTCTTTCTTTTTTTCTTTCTTTTTTTTTTTTTTCTTGGTGTTGGCTTTTTGTTTGTTTGTTTCTCTTCTTTTTGTTTTTAATGCCTTGCCTGTTGATTCTCCTGCAGAGTGTGAACACGGCTATGCCTCAACCTTCCCCTCAGCTCCAAGCCCAGGACTACAAGACCCAAAGCCCACGCGGAGGCTGAGCCGGGCACGGAAATACAGCGGCAGCGGCAGCATTGCCAGTATTGCCACCAGGTACGATGTGGGCAGGACAGCACAGGGAGCAGGGCTGGCCGCGGGGTTGGAGCTGCAGAAGAAAGTTGGAGGCAGTGGGGAGAAACTTGCTCTCTTGGCAAAATGGGAAGAGACCGAACAGCTAGAGGGATTCAGAGCTGGGGCACACAAGTGCAGCGTCCATTCTGGATCCATTGCACTGGAAGTAGAGGGGACACAGGGGAGCTGGATCTGAAGTGGCACTGCCAGCTGACACCATGCCAAGTCTCAGATGCTGCAGAGGAAAGTGGAATAGGGAGATCTGTTCATAAGGTTTAGGGAGGAGGTAGGCAATAGCTATTCCCATTATATACAGCTGATGTCTTTCCAACCCAGAAATCACTGCTTTTAAGGGATAGTGCATGTGCAGCCTGGGTGCTTTGGGATTGTAATGACAGGCATGATTCGAAGCAAGGAAATGTTTTGAAATGGATCCCCTACAACAAATGGGAGAGAGGGAGATGACTGACTGTAATGTACAACATGTTAAAAATTCAGTTCAGGAAAACAAAGCTGTCTTTCAGTCTGTCTTCCAGGGCAGTGGGATTTCCCAGCTTTTGATAGCTTGGTAATTGTAGAACTCCATGTTTTTGACACTTTTCTTATTATACAATGCCATGTTTCTTGGTTTCTTAAATCTAGAAGAGACAGCAAGATTAAGCGTATCGCCTGGTGCTGTGGTTGCATCTGCCTCTTACTTCTCATTTCTGTTTTTTTTTTTATTTTTGTTTGCTACCTTCTGTAGGTCTGTTCAATCCTTGTTGAGACCTTCTGGGATAGAGAAACTTCAGAAACATAAAGAGTGCCTTTGAAAAGGCATTTGCAAGCTTGCTTTTGCTGCAGCAAGGCCTGTGCAATCCATAAAATGGTGGCAGGTGGCTCAGGTGATTAAGGCTTTCTTAGGGCCATTGGGAAGGACCTGTAAAGGCCTAAGGGAAAGGTGCCTTTGCTTGCAGTGATTCTGCTTCCACAGCATTTGATAATAAAGGTTATTTGAAGTGATGGTAGGACACCTTGCTGTGGGGAAGTTTTCTTCATCAGGGTCAGCATATCTTGAGCTCTTTGTATGCTGAATGTTTGTATATGCTTCCCTACTTCATCCAGCCTCTCCTAATTTGAGGGCAGTTGTAGCTCTTTACTGTTTATCATGAACCAAAGCCCCCAGTCCTGTGACTTTGTGTAGGAAAATGATGGCAAATGCTGAATTGAGGTCGGTATTTTTCCCTCTAGGTTTCCCACATACTATTTTTCCATCCCACACCTCTTTGTCTCAAAGGCCTTTGTCATGGCAACCTGCCCTTCTCCAGAGGAGGGCTGGAAGCACATCCCCCTCAGGAACTCCTTAGCACTGAATCCAGCAGCCTGTAGGCTGGAGAAGGATGCAGAGCACTCCCAGTCCCTGGGGCCAGGGTGCTCAGCAGGCCCTGCCAGCACAGAGCCCCAGGCACAGCTCTCCCAGGGCAGCTCTGGTGCTGACACCAGCCTGCTGGGCCCTTGAGCCTGACAGGCTGAATATGTTCATATGGGGGAAAAGGCAACAGAGAAGCAGAAAAGGCACTTTCTAGTCTTACTTAAACCTTCTTTGTACAAGGATTACTGAGGCCTAATTGAATCTTTAGAGTGAGAGTGTTCTTACCCAGAACATTGTCTCCCGTGGTTGTTTCAGCCTCAGGGACTGACCATATCAGGTCTGTTCCAGACTGGTCTCTGGCAGAGACCTGAGTGGATCTTTTGGGGAGCTCAGACCTTACATGCACAGTTGGAAATGGAAGTTTCTTTTAGCACAAGTCGTAGCAGCTTGCACTTGCTGTTGGAGATGGCAGGCCTTCCAGATGGCTGAAGTGCCGGGAAGTGACAACTGTGAAGTTTAGGGTGCCTCCAAATTCACTGCAGTGTCTTTTGTGTGATGCTGAGTATAGCATCAGCCTTGTTTAAGAAAGGCTCTGTATCATCTCTTCCTGTTAAAATCAAAGGGGCAATTCAGTAAGTTCTGTCTGGTGGAGTTGGAATGGACTTTGAATTAAATATCAAGTCCTTGATGAGGAACAAAACTTACATTTCATGTGTAGACAAGAGATTTTCTTAGATTGCTTTTGTCTCAAAATGTTTCATTAGTGTAGAGAAATTATGCATTTAGGTCTCACGCAGATCTTGTAATTGAACAGCCTCCTGTAAAAATGTCTCTCAAACAACCTTGGGAAAGTGACAGTGTTTTCCTTTTTTTTCTTTTATTTATACACTTTTACAAATTTGCACATGTACATTGTTGATGGTATTTATTTAACCAAAGAATCCATTATTTTGTGGTGCAGGGTGTTTATGAAGCCTAGTTGCTTGTTTGATTCATAGTTTAAATCCAAGTATTTCCCTTCAGCATTTACAGCCCAGACATGACAGCTATTTCCTCCCAACTGGCTCTGTGCTGTCATTGCACAAACACCCAGAAAGTTCTGAGGAGCAAACAGGCAGTTCTGAATGGCAGTGGTGGAGCAAATCTTGTTCTAATGGAACTATGGTGGTCTAACAGTTTCAGCAAAATAGTTATTTTCTACCCCAAATAGGGGTGTGCAGATAAGAGGGAAAACATTGCTTCATAATTTCTAATTAATGTGATGCAATTTTAAAGAAGGATGTTGTGGCTCAGGTTCTCTTTTCTTTTGCTTGTCTCCATTGTGCAACCAACAGCGTGGAGATTGCTGCAGAGGGCTTCGCACTGCAGTCATTATCTGCATGAATGTGCAGTGTTTTGTGTAGATATTTGAAAGACCTAGTGAGTTTGAGATAAAACATGAATGTGTTTAAAAATACAGTTTTGCTTTAGTCACAGATATTTTGGTATGGAATATTATCCACCTGCAGAAAATAAGTGGAGAATCACAGTCATTGTTACCTGGTCTTTATAATAGACAAGAATCCTGCTTAACATGTAGATAAAAGCTGAAACCCAAGCAAATTAAAAACCCAAATTAACCAACATGTGTTACATTTGAATTGAATATTGCCTCCTTAAATTTGCTCTTGACAAAAGAATCTTCTATTTTTTGGAATGGGATGAAAACTGAGCAGAGGTTTGTTACAGCATGTGGTATCACTTATTTAGTGTTACTTTCTTCAGAAGATGTTTCTGGGGCAGAACCTGAGTTTTAAAAAGTTCCTAGAGAAGTGGTCTGTGCTGGGAATGCAGTTCTGTGGGTACATTAACTTGCACACAATGAAAACTGTTCTCATGAACCCTACATGTGCAGTTCTAATAGACCCAATTATTTGAAAGGTTCATTATAGTTAGTTAGGATTAGCCTGGTTTAATATTTATACATTTTGGAAAATAATTGAGAAGACTTTTTAATCAATTTAAATAATTGTGTCAGCAGGAAATAAAATAAACAGTAGGGCTGCTAAATTATTTTTTCCCCCAGTAATACCATCAGTTTAATGAAGTTAAGGTTTACCACAAAATTTGAAAATACATTACAATATTAGATTGTCATTTGTGTTTTGTTTTTATTTAGGCTCTCAGGCATGTAGAAAGCCTGTTGTTTTTTGGTCTAATCCTGGGGAAATACCAAGCATCCTCCCAGCAGCACTGGGAGACCTCAGCTCTCCCAGGAGGCCCATGCTGTTAAAGGCTCTCAGAGAATCTATTGCTCAGTTCCATGGGGGAGGATTTGATCTCTGTCCAGTTTCTTTTTCCTTTCATTTTCCTCTCTTCCCGTTATCCTCCCTTATGTTTGGGGCTGCTTCCCAAGGGCCTTTCAGATACCTACAGTCTGGTAGCAGGTTGCTTACAGAGCTTGGAGTCAGCAGCTGTGATGAGTATAGTAAGGCATTTTGGACATGTTATCTTGGAAATCTGGGTGTCTGGGTTTCTTTGCCCTTCTGGCTGTTCTACTGGTGCAGCTCCTCATTTTCTCTGTCGTTGCACTCTTATCTACCCATATGAAACTTTTTTCCCGCTTCTAAATCCCATCACTTGGTTTCGTGCTGGATCTTCTCTGTAGGCCTTTGCTCTCATAGCCTTTGAAACTCTCTCTTGAGGGTCCATATGGAGACTGTACTGCTGAAACCCCCAGGTATTCTTGGCTTTAAGCTTGGTTTGCTCAGGGTGGCCCAGAGCAGGGACTGGGAGGGGTGTGTAGGTGTGCATTACGTACTCCATGAGCCTTAGGTGATGGCTTCATGTGGCACAGGTTCAGAAACACGGGTGCAGAAGCTCAAAGGATGTGGCTGCAGGTGAATCTGCAAGTCAGCCTTGGGTGTCTGGTGCACAAGAAAGATGATTTACCACAGTGCAGCTGTACCTCACTGTGCAGGGGAGGAGTAGGGGGGTTGGTGAACACTGCAGTTTTAATATATTATATGTTTTCTGTCAAAGGAAATTTCCGCCCTCTGCCCCCCACATCGTGCTGCTGACTGAGTTCTGGCAATTTTCACTCCTTCCCAGAGCCTCTGGAGTTAGGATAGTGCTGTAATTATGATTTTATTGGGAGAGAGGGTATGCAGGTGACTGAGTGGTTTGCCTGTCTTGTGTAAGGAATTTCTGAAAGAGCAAATTGCTGTGTCAACTCTTGTTGATCTATTTTTCTGCACAAAGCCCCTACCCCTTTCTTCATGTCCCAGAGACCTGGTCTCTGAGACTTTCTGTCCACAGCTTTCCTGCTTCCTAGGCTCTACCAGTTACTTGTTTCTGGATGATACTTTGTTTATTTGCTTGTGAAGTTTTTTGGGTTTCTTTGTCATCCTCTTACACTGGATCACACCTCTCTCCACAGCTAGTGGGAGTTGAGTTTTGACTCGCTGTGTGTAGGTGGGTTAGAATCTGGCCCTTGTGTAATATGGGGGCGATAGAGGCTGCGTTCTGCCTCAAGCCTTGTAGTGAAGCACTATTCATGGCTCAGGACCTGGCTTTGCTTCATAGAGTACAAATCCACACGTGTAAAACAGAGAACGTGTGAGATCTGCTGTGCCATGTTTTGAGTTATACT